GGGGAATCCCCCCGTGGCTGTTGTTGGATTGGCTGTTAAATCGTGAGATTCCCATGGTAAAAAATGATAGGCGGAGGACGCCCGGACCGTGAGGCAGGAGCACTTTTTTTTAGTTAAAATCCACTCCACCCGGAGAGGAAAGGGGCCCCACACCATACAGAACGAGGAAAGGTGGGTTTGTTCTTGGCGCCGGAGGGAAGGAGAGGGCCCACCATTGGGACCGGGGGGGGGGGGGGGGGGGGGGCGGAGGGCAGGAGGGAGGAGAAAGAGAGGAAGGAAAGACATACAAGAAGAGGAGGAGCAGGAGCAGGAGCAGGAGCAGGAGCAGGAGCAGGAGCAGGAGCAGGAGCAGTCGCGGGAGGAGGAGGAGGGGAGCAGTCACGGGAGGAGGAGGAGCAGGGAAGGTTGCCAGTGGGGAGCAAAGAGGACAGAGCTGCTGTCACCTTGCCATCATCAAGTGTGTGCCATTTCGCTTCTCTCTTTCCGTTGGTTATCATCGCAACGTTGGGAAACATCCCGGCAGTCAGGACGGCCTTGACCAGCTGCATATCTTTCCCATGTTGACTGTGACCTTCCCAGCTCTCCTGCTCCAGAAACCCGATATCCTGTCGGACTGCGTCAGATTCCTTTTCCTCCTTCGCTTCCTTCCTCCCCCTCCTCCTCCTCCTCCGTCTTCGCCTCCCTCCTGTTCCTCCCTCCTTCCCCCTGTCCCCTCCTTCCCCCTCCTCACCCGCAGGAGGTCGGCGAATTGTTTGCGCATATCTGATATCATCTCCAGCGTCTTGCCCGACAAGAAATTCCTCCTGTAGAAAGCAGAACATCATGCAGCTGCTGCCGTTCCCCCTCCCCTCCTCCCCTCCTCCTCCTCCTCCTCCTCCTCCTCCACCTCCTCGTCGTCGTGGTCCAACCGATCCTCCTGCCCCTACTTGTCCTGGTCCTCCTCTTTCCCACCTGCAGAATTCCATTCGCATGTTCGGAGGCGTTTTCCTCCATTCTTCGAACGCCTGACAGCAAATCATAAAGAAGGAGGGAGGGAGGGAGGGAGGGAGGG